CTCTCTCTCTATCTCTCTCTACTTTTTAAATTAGATGACAATCTTTTAACTAAAATACAATTAATTATGATTACTATTTACAATTAATAATTATACCTATTTCTAGTTCACCGAGGAAAATTTTGATGCCAGCATTTGCACTCATATGATCTATGCGTTTACTAAACTTAGCGACCAAAACACAATCGCATCATTTGATCCATACCTCGATGTTGAGAAAGGTTTGTGCAAATCTAGATATAAACTGTATTTTTTATGTATAATGATAAAAACATTATCTGTGATGTATTTGATAAAGTATTTAATGGCTTTAACAGCACTCGGGAATATTATCATTTATTATTTACAAAACATATATTGAATTTAAATTATTTTATTAATTATTGTTTATTTACCAAAACAATAATGATTTATTCTTGGTTGCTCAATGATGGTTAAGTTTAAATTATTCACTATAAATTTTATATAAACTAACTTGTGTAATTTATGTAATATAAACGAACAATTAACCACCAGTAAAATAGTTATAATTATTATTTTTAGCTATTATTATAAATTAATTTTATAAATTATTTTTGCTAATTATTAATTAGTAATTAACATACAATAGGCATGTATAAACATTTTAACGATCTACGACAAATGAATCCCCAATTGAAAACACTGGTGGCTATCGGGGGTTGGGGTGAGGGGTCCGACAAATACTCAGCAATGGTCAACAACGCCGGGCACCGCAAAACATTCATCGACTCTGTGGTCAAGTTTATTGGTCAACACGGCTTTAACGGACTTGACCTGGACTGGTATACATCAATATATTTATTATGATTATTTAAAAATATAATATAACTGGTCAATTTTAAGGGAATACCCGGGTCAGTCAGCACGCGGTGATGGAGACCGTCAACCAGGCAACGAGGCCGACAAACAGGCATTTGTGGATTTATTACGGGAATTGAACGTAGCGTTCAAACCGCATGGTTATCTACTTACGGCTGCGGTGGCCGCCGGCCGGTCAACTATAGACAGGGGTTATAATGTGCCCGAAATGAATAAATATCTAGATTTCATTAATCTAATGACCTATGACTTGCACGGCAGTTGGGAACAAAAAACCGGTATAAATTAATTTGGTTAATATTTATAAAGTTTTATGTTTATTATTTCACACTTTTAATTAAAGTAAAATTATTGTGATAAAATTTATTATGTTATATAATATTTTGTAATAATTAAAATTAACGTACTAGGTCACCACGCAGCCTTACATTCCGGCCCCGGTGATAATGAGCAAGATAAAATGTTAACCGTAGAGTCCGCCGTCGACTACTGGCTCAAATTAGGTGCTGAGCCCAAAAAACTGGTAAATTAAACACTACTTATAAATTAATAATCTAGCTAGTAATTAAATAATCTGTCAGGTTGTAGGCATACCGTTTTATGGCCGTACATTTAAGTTGCAATCGGCTCTAAATAGTGGTATTAACTCACCTGCCAGTGGAGGTGCCGGTGCCGGACCATACACTAAAACTAGTGGCTTTTTGGGTTATAACGAGGTAATTTTATAAATCATTTCAAAATGTTGTATTTAGGATTTAAATACTGATTTAACAAAATTTTTAATTAATATTTCATCGTGATGAATCTAAATAAATATTTTTTCATAAAAATTACATAGATTTGTGAAAATCAAAGCAAATGGTCAGTGCATTGGGACGACCAGCGAAAAGCCACCTACGCTGTGATGGGCACAGATTGGGTTGGATACGATAACGAGCAAAGTATCATGGCCAAAGTGGATTTCATCAAGAGCAAAGGCTTGGGAGGCGCTATGGTTTGGGCCATAGAGACCGATGATTTTAACGGCTTGTGTGGCAAAGGAAAGTTCCCTTTGCTTAACGCTATTAATAATGGACTTAAATAAAGACTATATTAACTAGTACATTTAATTAATTAATGTATAATGTTCTGTAAAATTATAATTCAAATTGATAAATTATAATTGCAATAAAGTATGATTATTTTGAAATTTGATATAAATTAAATATTTTATTTAAATTTGGTAATAATAATAAATCTAATCTAATGTAATAACCACAAACAAACTACCATAATATGTTTAATGTTTAAAATGTTTAAATGTTTAAAAAACAATCGCCTAGACAGATATAAACAGCGATTAACTAATTTATAAATTTAAAATTATTTATAATAAATAATTAAATATAAACACTATTTAAAGGACATTTTTAAAATAATAAAAATTGATAAAATAGCTTTAATAGTTTTTAAAATACTGAATTAAACAATAATTTTATATGAATATATTTTATATTATATTTTATTATTTTATATTCTTGATATTAAAAGCAATTTAATAACTGTAAATCATACCTGTTGTGTGTAGATTACTCATTTAAATTATGGTAAAAACATTTAAATGGAGTATAAAATTAATAATTTATTTGTTTTGTTAAATAAATTGATTGCAACAATAAACAATTATAGTATGGTATTCATAAATATAATAATTAAAATAAATAGCAAATTATAATTAAACCTGTATACTTTTATATATTAATTATATACACTGTAATCAATTTAAAAATTTAACTGTTTACTTATATTCTATTAATTTAATAAACTATTGGTTTTGTGTAAATTTGGATTGTTAGTTTTTAATTTCAAATTAAAAACTAACAATCCAAATTTTTACAACTTAATAATTTGTAATGTATTTTTGTTTACCTGAACATGATAACTTAACTTTAGTTGTAAACTATAAATTATAAAATTTCAGAATAACAATTTAGCCATGCTTAAAAATTATAAAATAAATCTAGCAATCTTGCACACACGCACAATCGGATAGGCGTCTAGAATAACCAGGATCGCATTGGCACACATTGGCCACACACAAATCAATACATAATTCTGGTTCAGGTTGACCGCATATCCATGGACAAAATGTACCGCAAGTTGTAACATGATCATTCGCACCGCCACGGCATTGACCATCAGGTTGTATCGTTTGACACGTATCTATTGTCTCTACTAAATATATAAAACACACATTAATTAAAATATAATTAAGCTAAAATAAGTGTACGTTTACCGCAATCATGTACGCAGGCGCAGTCGGATAGGCGCCGTAAATAACCAGGCGCGCATTGGCAAATATTAAGCACGCACAAATCAGTACATAATTCTGGTTCAGGTTGACCGCACACATATGGGCAACTGGTGCCGCATAGAGTGGTATTACGGGGTAAATCATTGGGACCGCCCCGACATGGAGACCATTGCCAGTGATTACATGGTCGACCATGGTGAAGGCATGGTGGTTTCTGTGCGAGTAATTGGCACTGGGCTAATCGGTCTACAATTTTGTTTTTATTAATGCAAGTTTACATTTCATGTAATACTAGTTTGATAATATATTTTATTTTTAATATATGGATTTCAATATAATTATATTTTGGTATGTAAGTAAATGTTTACCTAAAGTTGATGTAGGCTCCTGATGTTGGTGTCCGCCTGAATAGGCATAGCTTGTATCAATACAATGTATTAGATAAATGTATGTGATTAAACTGAACATTGTTGAAATATTTGAAATTATTGATATATTTGTTTTTCCGAGTAATTAGTTTCTATTTTTTTATTAGTTGCATTTTATAGATATACTTCCCTGTTAGTATTTTTGCTGAACACATTTTTAAAATGAACATGTTTTATTCTGGTTTGTTTTTATTTCTATTGTTGATAATAAATAACAATTGAAATAATTACTATTGCTTAATTTATCTATTCTCTACCATATTGAATAGCATTCAATATACATGTATGTTACTTAAACTAATTTAAAATACTAAAATCTAAAATAACATTAAAAACAATAGATGTAATAACTGTAGAAAAAATATATATAATTAAATTCTTTATATTTAGTAACATAACATTTATTTGCTGGGTCATTTGTAGTACAACATTTTTTTTATATAGAGTTTATTCCATAATTTAAAATAATCACCCCGCTTTTAAAAGTATCAAGTTAATTTTATTAATTATTTATTATATAGTTGATCAAATTTTTATACAACTTAATATAATGTATACTATTTAGATATTGTTAATAAATAAATAAAACTATATAATAAACAATAGCCCAATTATATACAATGTAAAAATTATATACAATTAAACATGTGTTAAACAAGTACAAATATTGTAGCTTTATATTCAATTCAATAACAATAGAAAGTAAATATAATTTAAATAATAATACATTATATTAATAAATAAAACCCTTTGCTGTTTCAGTTATTATCTAAAAGTTAAGTTATCCGTAGATATGTTGCTATCAAATACTAAATTTTTAATAATTGTTACATTATTATTGGGTATAAATGGCCAGGAAAATGATTTAGGTGACCAGGCTGATAATACTGAACCTGAATTAACAAGCGATGATATCGATTGGGCTCTGAACGATCCTGGTTTTAATTTTGAATTATGGGGTTAGTATAAACTTGTAAACATTTATCTTATTAACAACTTATATTATTAGATATATCTAATAATTTCTAGATTAATAATTTAACAACATATGATTAAAATCAATATCGCTAAATTTATAATCCAAGTAAAATATTATCAAAATGTCGCATAATAAATTTTAATTAATGTAAAAATTATTACAGTTTCTAAAGATAACATTCACATTTTAGGATAATATTTACAGTATTGATATTACCACAGTGTACTTTTAATATATTTATCAACATATAAATATATTATATACGATTTTATAACCCTTAAATAGAGTGCGAGTCTGACCCGGACACCAGTCTGTGTCGGGCGTATTTCGATGAGTACTATTGTAACGCCACGTCCGGCCGGTGCGAGCCCTTCATATACGGCGGTTGTGGCGCTAATAACAACCACTTTGAGACCCACGAGTTGTGTCTGGACTTGTGTGCCGATTATTGTCATTCATAATTTTAAAATTATACCATATTTATAATGATGGTTAATTATTTTTAACAAATATTATAATTGAAACATGAAATATGTAATGAAAATTAATTTATTTTTATAATAATAAATCTAGTTCAGTAACTATCGTTTAATCATAGTACCACAAATTTATCTTATAAATATTTTGTAATTAAAAATATAATTATAATTTTTATATTTGTTTATTTAATTGATTTTCTTATGGAGAATAGAAAACAATTTATTTATTATTGTCAAAAGTTATCTATGCGAAATTACAACAATATTATTAGGGTAAAATTGTTGTCGTAATTTATTGCGAATTTTATATGACATATTAAAAACATTAAAGTGAATGCGATTTGAAAGTCTTAAACAAGGATTAAATGATTTATATTTCACAACTAAATCCTTTACTGTATGTGTGAACACAAGTATATTGAATCCAAACCATAGGCTAATAATACTGGCGGTTAAACTCAAATACTCCTCGGTTGACATTTTAAACAATATCACGTATACAGTGACTGGTTCTGTGCCATATCGTATAGCTATTGAATTATAATTGGGATATATTTGATAATTATCAAGCTGCTTACGCGTAACGTAGTAATAATTTGCACAATCAACAATTGAGCTACATTTTCTTAAACATAGTGCGTTAATTAGCGTACGATTTGCGTCATATAATCGTCCAATAGTAAGATTATTGTAATTCATCAAATGATGGTCATGGTCATTTTTGTAAAATAAATAATTTAGATCAATTCCATTTTTGCCGCTGAGTTCATAAAACAACTTATGGCTACAACTTTGCATACATTTACCTCGAGTTAAACTATCAGCGCAATTGGTTTTGTGTTTATTCACAACAATTATATGTTTATAAGTAATTGAATTTGTCGTATGCTTGTTAAATTGTATAGTATTGGACCCTGTGTTTATATATTTGTATATAAGTTTAGCGCTAGAGTGTGTGTGAATAACCACTTGATCAATCTTTAATGGAAATTTAATTAATACAATGGTAATTGTTTTGCCATCAAGCAAGGTTTGGTTAATTGAATATTTTGTAAATATTGTCACACAATATGATTGCATATTAATAGACTCCAAATAATTGTGGCGGCTAATGTAAGAATAATAATCACCATCATCAATTTTGACATCTAGTTCCAATTGGTGATATAGTAATTTGAATTGATCGCGTATGGTCATTTCTTGTACTTGGTTAAAATCTGATGAATTATTTATTAATATTATCATTTTAGGTACACATAATGTGAACGCTGTGTCCATT